ATAATAAAATAATATTTTATTATTTTAAAATTAACTTTATTATATATAAAATAAAATAATTTAATATATATATATATAATTTATAATTTTATTATAAAATATGTACACACATAATATTTATAAAAAATATTATTTTTTATTTATTTCAATAAAAATTCCAATTTTGAAATTTTTGTTAAATTTATTTTATAAATTTATTTCTAAATAAAATAATTATTAAATATAACAAAATAATATTTTATTATTTTAAAATGAATGTATTATTGTTAAAAATTGGATTTGAAAAATTTTGTTCATTTTTCCCATAGATATTAGGATATTTATTATTATGATATTTATTCTTAGGTAGAAAAACTTGCAGGTGTGAAATGTCGTCTTCACTTTTCTTACCTTTTTTTTTTTTTATGTCAGGAAAAAGAAAAACAAGGAGAGAAAGAGGAAGAGGAGTTGATCCAACGGGTGTGTTGTGTAGTCATGGATTTGCCTAATGTTTGTATTCATAGTTACAACTATTATAATGTGAAACCCAAGCAACTAAACCAACCAAACCAAACCAAACCAAACCAACGAACCAACCAACCGGTTTTCTCGAATCCTACATTTCTCTCTTTCTTTCTTTCTTTCTTTTTTTATTTACTTTTTTGTCTCATTTTATTTTTATCCTTCTTTTTTCTTTCTTGATCTCTATCTTTCTCATTCTTACTCAAACGAATGGCATCCCTCCAACAACTATGAAAAGGTATATATATATATATGCTAATGCTAATACCAGTTTAGACGTTTACATTCTAACTGACGTTAGGAGCTTCCATTAAAGCGTAATCGTTTGAAAAAGAGAGAGAAAGAGAAAGAGAGAGAGAGAGAAGAGTTGGCCTTGTTCGAGTCTCCAACCATAAAGGATAATTTTTTTTTATTTACATATACGGTTCGAAATCGCATTCTTTTGCAATTTTTTTTTTTTTTTTTTATGAAAAATAGGAAGAAAAAAAAATCAATCTGATAATTGTAATAACACATTTGTGTATAATGTAAAATATAATAATTATTTATTATTGTATATTGAGTAATAGAATTAGAAAATTTAGGTGATAACGTTATTATTTTTAATTTATGTTTAATTATTAAATTTAATAGGTGGTGAAATATTTAAATTTATTTAGAAATTCGAATGAATGAATCATTGTGGAAATGAATAAAATTATAATTATAATAATAAAATATAATTAAATAAACATATATATTGAATCATTGTGGAAATGAATAAAAATATATATCGAATCATTGTGGAAATGAATAAAAATATATATCGAATCATTGTGGAAATGAATAA